TGCTAAAATAACTAGCAGACACTGTGCAGAAAATCGATGTCGTTCAAAGCTCCGCCTTCTGTTTGCTGATTGGTCCAAGTGAAATAAACTACAAGCAGACACTGYGCAGAAAATCGACGTTMTGTTCTCTGATTGCCCGGATGAAATGCTCCCAAAGAAATCCTCATCTATGGGAGAAATCCCAGACAGAACAGTGAAGGGAAACTGGAGWTGAGTGGAACTGCGTAGGAAGGAAAGGGCCAGGCTAAAAACATCGTATGACAGGACCTTTAGCACTGAATCATGACAGGAAACACTTCTTTAGTTTTACTCTGACCTATAAACTCACACCTGCTCTGCCCAGGTCTCAAAACTGTTCCAACCTTAACTTCATGTCAGATTCTCAAGCCTCTAAACCACATACATGCCACAAACACTGACATCTAGTGTTGAAAGTGTATGTTACCATGAAAACAAAACCTCTGATCTAATAAACGTGGATGTTATAATTCAGTTAATTCTGTCTGTGGTAAGCTGAATGAGCTCTTCTATAACACACACTCTGAGTGTGATATGGCAACAAATCATAAATAATATTCTCATGGTTTGACCAAAACATTGACATTTTTCTTCATAAGTTGATGTAAAGACCTAAAAGGCAGGACCTTTTTTTTGCACCTAAATATGATGTTTATTTATAATGAAAATTAAAGCTGAACTAATTTAAAATCATTTTCACTTGTTACTGTATCTGCATGGAATCAGCTTTTCAAACATGTCAAGTTGTACGGATTGTCCTTAATTTACACTGATTTTCCATCATTTTGCAGGCATATGGAAATATAGAGCAATCTCATGGATTTTTTCAAAACCAGTTTCAAATTAATTTAACATGTCAGAAGGATGTTTAAAAAACAATAAATAACATCAAATAACCATCTTCCAACCTGTTCTGCTGCTAGAAATTAGACTAGAAATAAGTTTTCCAATTCTTCCATGTCCTTTCCTCCTGTATGGCTGTTTGAATCTTTAAAAGTTGGTCTCACTGTGGAAAATGGAGATGATTTTAAACATATCTGGGTCAGATAGTTGTGTATGTTTGCCTGATTTAACTTTCAGTAATTTTCACCAGTCTAAAGCATCTAAATGGCTCCTAATAATGGCTGCATGATCATAAAGTATTGTTTTGTGTACAGTGTGTTTATGTCATTGCCTGGCTTTACAGGGACAAAAATAAGTTCCAGTTTTTCCTCTGGAGAGGGTGTTTAAAGGATCAAMATGTTCTAAATTCTGCTGAAAAARGGGATAAAATGTGTGAGATCTAATTCTGTCTTCTTTTAGGCTACAACCATCCTGCTCTCCTCAAGCTGATGACCAACCCCAACAATCTGGTAGGTTCACAAACTGTCAGTGACCTCGAGTCATCTGATTACCCCCAGTCAATAAGGAAACCAGAACCATTAGGTCCCCGGGTCAGCCTGTAACCTGGAGTCAGTCCTTGACTTGAGGTGATCTCAGGGACATCCAGAGACCCTGAGTCGTCCAGTGACCTGGAGTTGTCCAGTGACCTGGAGTTGTCCAATGACCTGGAGTTGTCCAGTGACCTGGAGTTGTCCAATGACCTGGAGTTGTCCAATGACCTGGAGTTGTCCAATGACCTGGAGTTGTCCAATGACCTGGAGTTGTCCAGTGACTCTGTCTTCAAGTAATCTTGAGGCATTTGGTAACGTCAGCTTATAGAACTGATGGTGGTGTTGGTGTATGTTGATGCTCTGAAGCCAGGAGGGGTGTTTACCATACTGTTTTGCTCTTAAATTGRAAAAAATAAACACCTGAAGCTCACATCTAAAAAAAAGAACAGTAAAACCAATGAGTCATAAACAAAAAATATAATTTGAGGTCATGATAGCATCACTCAGGGGTCAGAAATTTCCAAGTTTCAATTCTGAAAAGTCAGCTTTAATTCTGTTTCAGAAGGTTTTCTCTGGATTGTCTGATCTGTTTTTTCTTTTCAGAGTACATTTGTGAACCGACCAGCGCTGGGAATCCTGCCTCCTGAGAATTTCCCTGACAAAATTACAGAAAGTCTTCTCTCAGTTAGTAACACACTCTCACACACACTCAGACCTGACCTCAGTGACCAGATCTGCTCATAAAACAAGACATTACTTTCCTTCAGGTGGCTCCTAGTGGGATGAGTCGTGTTCAGACCATGGCCTGTGGCTCCTGTTCCAATGAGAATGCCTTCAAAGCAATGTTCATCTGGTACAAGGTGAGGGTGAACCTTCTTARCCTGCTTAACCAGTGAGACGTGTGAACACATGAATACAGAAACAGTTTTTGTACACTATGTGGAACTGTCAGTGCTGGTCAGGGTTCCTAAAAGTTGCCCCCTACACAAATGACCCTTTGCAACTTCTTCACCTAATCAGTTGGAGGCGCCATGATGGATGTCGGAAGTGAGGGAGGGGAATATTGCACGCTTTGACTGAGATTGTTTTCCCAAGATGTTTCTGTATAGTCATGGATGATGTAGGTAGAGTGCTTAAACCTTTAGGGTGCTTCATTTTTAAACACTCAGAAAGTAGGATCAATTGGAACTTTTTCAGATGGTGGAACAGATATTATGAGGACCCACTGCTCCTTGGCAACACTCTCCACCGGACTGAAAGCTAAAGTTCATTGAACTAAAGTTCATTGAACCTTCAACCTTCAAAACGTTCCCCATGGCCGAAAGTCTGCTTAAAGTCCCCCACCCAGRATCATGTGTGAATAATATGGATCTTTTTGTGAAAATTACAGATTTTTGAGACTTAAGATACGTTGACCTGTATGCATCCTGACAATTTTTACAGATAAATAAACTAAATAAAAGTGATATTAGGCTACAAACTGTCTGTTTTTTTGACTAGCCATACAGGACTTTGCAAGCACATAGGTTGTTTTGACATCCGTCATGGTGTAGTAGGTCGCCTTCTGAAGAGTGTGACGTCATGTGCAAAGGGTCAATACGTAACATCAGCAAGTACCCAGATTCAATCAAACAGAACTTCAAGTCGAATACAATACAGTGCTGTAGCTGTGATTGATGCTGATTTTAAAAAACAACAACAGAAAAATGGTGTCTATGAAGCATTACTGCTATGGGAAAAGGAAACAAAATATTAGGATTTGACAAAAGCTTTTCTTTCCAAAATAAGAGTACAGCAGCATGCATCTTGAAACTTTTTAGCCTCCTGTGTTGTAATTTGCCAGGTGTTGAAGGGAGTGGTTCACCATTGTTTGTTTTTGGTCCCAAACACAAAGAGCATGAAGCTAAGTGGCAGGGTAATATTAAGATCCCCAAAAATAACATCACCATCCTGGCATTTATTTTTTTATTTTTTTATTTATCCTTTATTTATACAAGAAGATTTCTTGAGACTCATCTGTAACAGATGTGACAGATGTAATAGATTTTGTGACAGATGTTGAAACAGATGTGTTCCTGTGTGACAGATGTTGTAACAGATGTGACAGATGTAACAGATTTTCATTTACAAGAGAGACCTGTTACATCCACCACAACAAAGTAGCATAAAAACAATAATAAAATTTACTTAACACTTCTAAAAATCAATGCATACATCATCAAAAAGGGTTTTCATTGAGAACAGGTACAGGTGCTTACAGACAAATTTTCAAATTTTCAATTTTGCATTCTTTACCTGTAGTGTGAAAGTTGTTTATATCTACAGCTAACAAAACAATGGAAAAACGAAACTAATTTCCTTTTTCTTTCCAAGCCAAAAATTGATTGTGGTAATAAGAGAACTTACAACTTATGATAAGAACACTTTTACATTTAAGAAAAACTGAGTCAAAGAACAGATTGCTAACAGCTAAAGGCTAACACCATCTAATGAAGTAAAATAAAATAAAGGGCTGGCAAATCCTTTTTTCATCCTGCTGCCAACAGCCTATTGRCAAATCCATGGCATGCATCATTCACAAAATCCACTTTCATCTGTGCTGTTTTTCACCAAGGCAAAAGAGCATCACTCAGCAAGGAAACATCAGTAATGCTACATGTACATCTTCATCAATTCAACGCGACTGCCCGACTCTGCTAGTCACTCCTCGTATCTTGCATTGTACCCAAATGCTGTATCCGCCAACAAAATTAAAATCGATTTTGGCCCCAGGAACGTTGTCCTTGCTTAAGTTTACATGGATGCTGTGTGTTTTTGATACAAACCTGGGTCAGAGTATCAACATTTTTAAGTACCAGAGGTCTACATTAAAACCTTCAGAGTAATATTCTACCTGAAGACAAATTGGTGTAGTAAAAACTGTATTGTCTGTTCACTCAATGGACCTTAAACATTTACTTTGTCTTATTAAATTATAGCTAAATGCTTAGATGAAACCACAGAAGGTCACATTTAAAACTTACAAACTTAAAAAAATACATTTTCACAACAGTTCCAACAAAACTCATGAAGTCAGTCTAATAAACTACTAAATTGTCTAAAACACTTTTCCTTCTCATCATAAAATAACGTCAGTTGCTGACATAAAGGCAGAGAGTGAAATGCATTTCTTTAAAGATGTTTATGCATTTTACATGTACTGATTTACTAAGTTTAATTCAGGAACATTTATAAAGGGACATTATTCTTTCACTCTTCTTAGACATGAAAACAGGAAAACAAAGTAATAAAATGAAGATATTTTTGTCAGTCTGTATGTGAAGGATGTATTCAARTGTTTGTTTATGTTGTAGAACAAAGAGAGAGGCTACAGCTCACCTTCTGATGCAGAACTGAACTCCTGCATGATAAACCAGGTGAACCCAGAAGCCATCAGCACTCTACCTATGCACTGACCGACACTTTAACCTGATCAGACTCTTTCCTCTCCGTCAGGCTCCAGGTTGTCCAGATCTCAGCATTTTGTCCTTCATGGGAGGTTTTCATGGAAGAACAATGGGTAGGTTTCAACCAGCTGTGTGACGACGATGAGTTCTCCTCTTGTTTGATTGGACACACAGAGGGGCTTCAGACGTGTTCACACCCCTTCAGTATGCTTCAGTTTCAGCTGAGGCCACAGTTATTTAAAATCTTTTCATTTTGGTGGTAATCTACAGAGAATGACAAGAAATAAAACAGAACTTTATACAGCTTTGTGAATGTATTCAGCACAGAGAAAGGTGAAACCTCAGAATTCTGACTCACCTGGATTCAGGGGTTTCTGCTCTCTGTAAATCCTCAGTCTCTCTGGGTTCAGGTCAGAACTCTGGCTGAGTCTCTCCAGGACATCCAGAGTTGTCCCTAAACCCCTCCTGTAGTGACTTTGAGCTTTGGGTCATTGTCATGTTGGAAGGTGAAGCTGTGGGTGATTCTGTGGTCCTGAGGACTCTGATTCCCCTCAACCCAGTTTCTCAGTCCCTGCTGCTGACAGCTCCACATCATGAATGAGTTGATGTTGGAAAAGTTGTTTGAAGCCACCTGCTGAACTATAAATGTATTCAGGAAAAATTAAAAAATAAATAAAAGATAAATTGCTGTTTCTTACTATCAACACATCTGTCAGTAACAAACAATGTTTCTGAACATGCATCTATGTTTTACTGCTTTAAGGTTGCCTGGCAACAACTCACTCCAAAGTAATCCACAAACTGGACGTGCCGTCGTTTGATTGGCCGATCGCCTCCTTCCCCCGACTGCAGTATCCGCTGGAGGAGTTCACCAGGGAGAACGCTCAGGAGGAGGCCCGCTGCCTGGAGGAGGTGGGTTCACCTCTCTGTGACCCGTCTGACAGATGTGTTCCTGTGTGACAGATGTTGTGACAGATGTGACAGATGTTGTGACAGATGTGACAGATGAAACAGATGTTGTGACAGATGAAACAGATGTTGTGACAGATGTGACAGATGTTGTGACAGATTTGACAGATGTTTTGACAGATGTTAACAGATGTTGTGACAGATGTAACAGATGTTGTGACAGATGTTGTGACAGATGTAACAGATGTTGTGACAGATGTGACAGATGTTGTGACAGATGTGACAGATGTTGTGACAGATGTGACAGATGTTGTGACAGATGTAATGACAGATGTAACAGATGTTGTGACAGATGTTGTGACATATGTAACAGATGCTGTGACAGATGTAACAGATGTTGTGACAGATGTGACAGATTTGACAGATGTTGTGACAGATGTAACAGATGTTGTGACAGATGTAACAGATGTTGTGACTGATGTAACAGATGTTGTGACTGATGTGACAGATGTAACAGATGTTGTGACTGATGTTGTAACAGATGTTGTGACTGATGTGACAGATGTTGTGACTGATGTGACAGATGTTGTGACAGATGTGACAGATGTTGTGACAGATGTAACAGATGTTGTGACAGATGTAACAGATGTTTTGACAGATGTAACAGATGTAACAGATGTTGTGACAGATGTAATAGATGTTGTGACTGATGTGACAGATGTAACAGATGTTGTGACAGATGTAACATATGTTGTGACAGATGTAACATATGTTGTGACAGATGTAACAGATGTTGTGACTGATGTGACAGATGTAACAGTTGTTGTGACAGATGTAACAGATGTTGTGACAGATGTAACAGATGTTGTGACTGATGTGACAGATGTAACAGATGTTGTGATTGATGTGACTGATGTGACAGATGTAACAGTTGTTGTGACAGATGTGACAGATGTAACAGATGTTGTGACAGATGTAGCAGATGTTGTGACAGATGTAACAGATGTTGTGACTGATGTGACAGATGTAACAGATGTTGTGATTGATGTGACTGATGTAACAGATGTTGTGACTGATGTTGTGACTGATGTTGTGACTGATGTAACAGATGTTGTGACTGATGTTGTAACAGATGTTGTGACAGATGTAACAGATGTTGTGACTGATGTAACAGATGTTGTGACTGATGTGACAGATGTAACAGATGTTGTAACAGATGTTGTGACTGATGTTGTAACAGATGTTGTGACTGATGTGACAGATGTTGTGACTGATGTGACAGATGTTGTGACAGATGTGACAGATGTTGTGACAGATGTTGTGACAGATGAAACAGATGTTGTGACAGATGAAACAGATGTTGTGACAGATGTAACAGATGTTGTGACTGATGTTGTAACAGATGTTGTGACTGATGTGACAGATGTTGTGACTGATGTGACAGATGTTGTGACAGATGTGACAGATGTTGTGACAGATGTTGTGACAGATGAAACAGATGTTGTGACAGATGAAACAGATGTTGTGACAGATGTAACTGATGTTGTGACTGATGTTGTAACAGATGTTGTGACAGATGTGACAGATGAAACAGATGTTGTGACAGATGTTTTCCTGGTACAGGTGGAGGACCTGATAGTCAGGTGGAGGCAGAAGGGGAAACCTGTAGCAGGGATTGTGGTTGAACCCATCCAGGCTGAAGGAGGAGATAACCACGCCTCTCCAGACTTCTTCAGGAAGCTGCGCAGTGTGGCTCGTAAGGTAACATCATCTGTTAAYCTCAGTGTAGGGTTCCAACTCAGTCCTCTCCAAAATACGGGACAGCTCTGCTGGGGGTGGGGCCTAATGTTGCAAATCATCGATTGTGACATCATCACACAATATTTATTATTTCCCCAAACATTTCAGTTACATCCACATAAACAAAATTTAATTTTGTTTCCATTATTTAAATATTACTTAGGTTTTTAATCTGGTATTTGTGGTCTTTTATCTCCCTTCCCGCCGTGTCTCATAAACAAGATTCCAGTCTAATATTTAATCAGAGAAACACCTGCTCACACCTGAACATACTTTTTAGTTTAACTGCAGATTAAATTAATCAGACAGGTACACGTCTTTCTGGATTGTATTTATAATTTAGTTTTGAGTATTGATTCTGCAACAATACTCCAGATTAACAAAGTCAAATGTGGTGAAGATGTCCTTAAATTAATAATTGAATTAAAGTACAAAAATAAATAAAATTAAATAAAAAAACTGTGAACTATGCATCTTAACTCTGAGGCTTTCAAAACTTGACTAATAGATTTCAAAACCGCAGCTCTATATTAGCACAGAGCTAGCACAGTAACATAGAGTCGCCACAGATTAGCTTATAAACAGTCTTGCCTTGTTGGCAAATAGTCATGTTCTTTATTTTCCTTTATGTCCTGTTTTTGGAGTTCTGTTCAGGCGTGCTCTGTCTGCTCCAAACACAGTTTATCAAAATTTTTCCTCTGTTGGACAAAACATTTACTGAACGCTATTCCAGAAAATTGAGAGAGAATCATTCAAACCCATTTTAAATTCTATTTAAAATAGTCAAAAGCGTTCAAACCAAACCCACAGAACAAATCAATACATGACAAGCTAAGTAAATAACCAATTTGCATTGTTTATTAGGAGGAACTACTTTGTGGGGTGAATGAATTTTGTTTAGGTGGAGCTGTGCCACAACAGCCCCTATGGACGGGCCGTGCCTGTTAGTTCTGCTGTTTTGCTCTTTGTAAAATAAAGGTGAGCTGAATTATTTAATTATCTGCTCATTAGTTACTGTGGAGAGCCCACATTACACCTGCTAACATCCCAATGTTAGCTCTTTGCTATCATTTGTTTCAAAGAAAGTTAGCTTGAATAAAGAATGTTTCTCCTTTGGTAGATGATCCAGAACCAGAGAGTTAAATACATATCACTAGAGGAGGCGTGGCCTATACGTCCACTGTTGGCRTCTGTGACAGCATGGAGGAGCGAAAACGGTGACCTAACAGGGCATCTGCTCACAGTTGTCATAGCAGCTATTAGATTGACAGCAAGCTGAACCGGATCTGTTTCATTCAATAATCATGTAAAACAGCAGATACTGTATAACCAGAAAACAATAAATTCATAAGTAACAATGATCGAAACCAGACTTGAAGTCATTCTGTAACTTAAGACTTTTTAGCTAGTTGAAAAATTATGGATAGTAATGAAGTATTTATTTCTTACCTTCATAAATAATAATATTAAATATTTACCAGTCAACACTTAGAACATGTTCTCTGTGTACCTGGTTATAGGATGAAACTTGTCTCTACTGATATTAGCTAATCAATTTCTCAGCAAGCCTGGTTTGTCAAATAAAGACCTAAAAATGTATAAATATACAATATTTTATTTTGTGTAAATATTACCTAAATCAGAGAACAAATCAGCCTAATATTTAATAGTTTGTGTTAAATTGATTCATTGGAGTGCAACAATTTGTATAATTTACTACACAAGCTGCTAACCATTTCAATAATCAGCAGTGATTAAATCAGATTTATAAGTTTATTTTAATTTGAAACTGTTACGTTATTARCTTCAGTTCTGGTCAGATCACATCCACATTGAAGTAAATAAGATAAAATATTCCTACTTGAAAGAGACATGTTTCTCTTCTATTGGTAACACACAACTTTCTGGCATTAAAACATTAGATATATTATATCAACTCTAAAACATTAATGTTTTYAAATTAATATTAATAATTTGTTTGATTTCTACATGGTCAGTCCTTTTTTTTTTTTGCTCTGTTGCCAACATGTACAGTAATGTAAAATCCAGACTCTTGGCCGTTATGCTTAGTCGCTAGTTCACATGGTCACCTGGTTTCCACACTCTCCAGTAGTAAAAATATGCCTATGTTTGTCTTAAACGTTATTTATCCACTGTACGTGTTACTTCTATTTTTCAGTCTGTACTCAACCTAAACTTTAGTAATTTAACTCCCATATGTCATTTAATTAAGTCTTGAAACCACTGTCAGCGCTTAGATTACTACTTAGCCTCATCCACATTGTTCGTACTACTCATTATCATGTTTAATGCTGCTGTATTTTATGTATATTTTTCTTTTCTATAATGTAACTTTTGTTTCAACTACCCTGGGACATGTGCTGCTGACCTCTTGACCAGCTCACCCTTGGAAAAGAGATCTTGATCTCAATGGGCTCTATCTAGTTAAATAAAGGTTGTCCAAAACTAAAATAAGAACCAGGTTAAAGGTGTGTTGAGTCAGCATCTATAAACTCTAGTGGTGGTGTTTGATCAGTTAAAGGCAAAGTGTGTAGGATTTGTTGTTTTCAGCGACATCCAGTGGTTGAATGGTTGAACCCCCCCCCCCCCAAAAAAAACACAAAGGAGTTGCTACGGTGTCTCTCAGGTGTCAAAAACCTTTGATAATTCCAACTGCAATGTCTACCAGCAGCTTCAGGGCTAGTGATCTTTCAAGTAGGGTTGTGTATTAGCAAGAATTTGGCGATACGATACATATCATAACAGAGGGGTCACGATACGATATATCCCGATATATTGCGATACTGTAAGCAAGGCAATATATTGTGATATATTGCGATTTTTTTGTCCAAAAACTTTATTAAATAAAAACCTCTTACAGAAAAGAAAAGCTAATGTTTACTCACAATGCTAATGCTACCCTTACTCTCTGGCGCTCAAGAGGTAGAGGAGCCAAATGGCCGGCTCACTGCTGCCAACTAGTGGTCAGAGGCTGAACTACAACATAAAAATGAACGGTTGGCAAGAAGGTTGACATTTTAAACCTTAATAAAAAATCGATACAGGGCTTTAGAATATTGATACAGTATCGGGAAATGAAATATCGCGATATTTCAGTGTATCGATATTTTCTTACACCCCTAGTTTCAAGTGGTAAGATTATGAGCTTTAATAAGTAAAATTATCCCAGCTACAATGACAGACAACAAATATTACATTTATATTATTACAACTAAAACCGTTTTTGACGCCGCCACCGCAGTTTGTCCTTCATGAACCTTCGTAGACAAGATGGCGGTGCAAGATGGCGGCTGCCTGTAGTGGCGACCCGCGACCATGGAGATATAAACAGCTTTTTATAAGGTAAAAATAATAAAACAAGGTCTTTGTCTGCAATGATTAGACATGTTTTTTATTATTGTCATTACTGATTATCTCAATTTCTGCTAAAAGAATTGACAAAATCCTGCACACTGTTCCTTTAAAGCAGGAGCTCCTGTGAAATTTAGAAATGTTAGCTGCAAGGTTTTGACAGAACCAGGCTGGGCTTTGTTTTCTTCATCTGTTGAAGCTGATGGTTGAATCAGTCCACTCTGTCTCCCAGCATGGCTGCGCCTTCCATGTGGATGAAGTTCAGACCGGTGGAGGGTGCACAGGAAAGTTCTGGGCCCACGAGCACTGGGCCATGGATGACCCGGCTGACATCGTGTCGTTCAGTAAGAAGCTTCTGAGTGGAGGATACTTCTACAGGGATGAGCTGCAGGCTGATAAGGTTGGTTTGCTCACAAACACAACAGAGGTGGGGCGGCACGGTGTTAGAGTTGATGCATCAACCAAATGTTTCAGGTTCAACCAAAGATTTCTGACATGAAAAAAAAAGTTTCTGTTCTGCAAAAAGCTTTTTGATTGAATTTTTTTTAATTGAAATGACCTTTTTGTTTGATTGGATAATAAAAAACACAAAATTACCTTCATGCTGCTTAAACTGAACTGATGTTTAAGTTTGTACTCAGGTGTGTTTATGAAGGAAAGCAGTTTTTCTCTAAGTTGAAATAAAGGTTCTGAGTTTAGAGATCTTAGTCAAATAAAAATCTTAAATTAATCTGTGATTTTCTTCTCTTATAGGGTTACCGTATCTTCAACACATGGATGGGTGACCCATCAAAGAACCTATTCCTGGCTGAGGTTCTGAATGTGATCCGGAGAGAGAATCTCCTGGAGGAAGTGGTCCGTTCTGGGAAAGCTTTGTTAAACGGACTCTATGAGCTGCAGGTACTGTTCTTGTTCTCCTGTCAGAACCTCACTTGTTGCTTTGTTTCTTTATTCGAATATAAACCCAAAGAGATCCAGTTTGAGGAACAGCCTGTTAGTTTTATTTCTTCCTCCTTCACATCACTGCAGCCTCATTTTAAAAGTTTTTTTTTTTCAGTTTTAATTGTCTTTCTGTCTAAGCTTCAGCAGTTTTCATTCTGTTCCCTCGGTTATTACATTCAGATATTTTTAATTATAAAAATAAACACTTTGATTTCTAGGTGTGAGTTATTTTAATCTAAAATCAGTTTGATCTTTTATAAGTAAATCTGTTCGTAAAATCCAGATGTGTTGTGTTGTGAGGTTCACAGTTAGGTTCTGTTATTCCTTGTCAGTAGAGGGCGCTGCTGGACCAGTGTAGGACAGAAACTAAATAGTGAGACATGTTCTAAAGGCCTCTGAGCTGTTTCTGTAATAAAGTCAGAGTTTAACCTTTGTCTTACAATGATTACCCTCTGGTCCCAGACCCAGTACCCCAGTGTTCTGAGCCGAGCTCGAGGGCAGGGGACGTTCTGTGCTGTTGATGTGCGAGATGCTGAGACCCGAGACCGGATCCTGGTGCAGACCAGAGACAAAGGTACTCATCAGATCTTTAGACCGGTCTGTTTTCAGTTGTTCTCACTTCTTTGTTTGTTCCTGTTTGTTTCTGTTTGTTCCTGTTTGTTTCTGTTTGTTTTTTTGTTCCTTTTTGAAGTAATTCTTGAAGCTGCCTGAGTCTGGGTGGGTTTGTGTTTCCTGCAGCTCAGCCCGTGACGTGAGAACGATCTACAGATTTAATGTACAACAGCTCCTCTGGTCTAGGRTCAGAGGAAACCAGAAGTAGAGTCTTACATAAAGTTATTATTTCTAACAGTGTAGAGCAGTGGTTCACAAAGTTTGGGTCAGGACCCCTTTGTGGGTCACAAAGCATCAAGTGAGGGTCCTCGGATGATTTCCAGACATCAGTTTAAATGCAAAAAAAAAATAAAAATAAAATAAAAATGCTAACCGAATATTTTCACCATTATTGTAATTTTTAAAGCAATAATCATAAATGAAGACAATTAGTATTGTAGTTATTAGGTTTATTTATATTGTTTAACAGTTATTAGTAAAGTTTATGTAAGTGAGCAAGTAATATCTGGTGTTATGAGTGTCTGCAACTGTTATTTTGTTGGCTGGAAACAAAAAAKTTTGAAAACACTAGTGTAGAGAGAACTTTGAAGTGTGGTGGATATTAGCAAAACTATTTTTCACATTTTATCTTCATTTATTAATTTTTTTTTCAATTCCTGATTGTTCAGCAACAAAATAAAAACAATATTCTTCTGCCCCCCACCTGAAGTTATTTTCTACAAACTGAAGCCTGATCAGGATCAGCTTTAGAAAGAACTACAAAATGTCCTAAAACAACAACATCAAAACAACAACATTTAATTTTAAACTTAAACCATGGAAATAAGCTTGTTTTGCACAAAAAAAAAAAAACCACTGTCTTCAACTCACATGAAACCATCACCAAGAACACTGGATTAACATGAATGTACTTTTTTGTGTTTATCCATTCATATTACTGTGTATTTCACACTAATAACTGAGGGTTTAACTGCAACACATTTGTGCACAAATAACGTCGGGCGATGGGTCTCCGATTTTTTTTCCGCATTGTAGACTCCAGCAGGAAGAAACCCCCTGTAGTGGCACACACCGCAGTGGGAGGGGTTTCCCAGGAGTTTGGCAGAGTGTGTCTCAATGGGCCATGAAAGGTGTGTGTGAAAATGAATGCAGAACAACCAGGTAACTGCGTGTTGTCTGCTGATCGACCACACTGAGCCCTCAACTGTTTCACAACCAAGGGGAAGGGACATCTACTGTATAGACTGGAATTAAATGAAAGTTTGTTTGGTCAGTGACAAATAAAAATTTGATTCTCCTTATTTTTCATAAGCTCTGAAGAGCTACTTTAAATGAGCTCAGGAGCCACTGGTTGGAGACCCCTGATCTAAAACATCCCCATCAGTGATAACTGTGTGTGTGTGTGTGTGCCTGTGTGTGTGTCTGTGTGTGTGTGAGTGTCTGTGTGTGCTCTGAGCAGTAACCATGTTGATCTTCCACAGGTGTACTCCTGGGAGGATGTGGAGATTCCTCCATACGGTTCCGTCCAGCGCTCATTTTTAAGGAGTACCACGCTCACATCCTGCTGAACATCTTGAACGATGTTCTGGCTCAGAACAAGTAGGTCCTGCAGGAGGCCGAGCCGAGGAAAGTTCCTTCAGAGAAGAACCTGTTGATAAATCCCCCAGACTTTGTGTTTAAAGGACCACAGAGCGACCAGTGGTCATGTCCCTAATCCCTGACCTTTGACCCCTGCAGCCTGTCAGAGCAGGGTCCAGAGGACTTTAAGATTGTTTTTCTAAAAGAAACTAAATAACTGGAATGATTTGATATGTTGATTCATGTTGGCACACGTAGACTGACCTGATGGAGTCCTGACAAGGCGGTCCATCGGGTCAGAACACCCCCAGACTCCCCCTTCCAGGGTTTCCTGTGAAGCAGCAGCGCTCTGACTGCAGGATTAGCTTCAGATTATCTCACTTAATCTCATGTTAACAGTTAGTAGATGGTAGCAACAAGAACCTGGTTTYCTGTGTGAACTCTGATGTTCTGGTGTTTCTGTGTCGTCAGTGTTGGACTCTAACCACAGGGGGAACCAGAGGTCCGTCAGCATGAACCAGAACCAGAACCCATCCTTTGTGTAGTGACCTGAACTGATTTTAGCCTTTTTAGTTTGGATGTGTTAAAATGTGAAACATTAACTGAATGTTTGGAGTTTTACTTTTAGCTCTTCTGATCTGAATAAGAATGTTTTCAGTTTAAAAACTGCTCATAAAAAGGATGAATTTAGGTTTTTATTTTTTATTTTTCCCCCAGTGACTAACTTCTGACTGATTTTAGAAAATAATCACATTTCAGTCAGAATATTTTGACAAAAATAAATGAAAAAACATGAAAAAATAAGTTATTCCATTTTTTAAAAACWGGCTTTTAACTAAAATCTTTTCTAAATTTTCGCTCTTGGTGAAACTGAGTTTGACCCTCTGAGGTCAAAGGTCACACAGGTTTAATATAGGAGGTTCTGGAAAGTTAAATAAAAATATTCTGAAGTCTGAAGAGAAACCAGACAATCAGACGTGTTCATTCCTGATTTAAAACTAATATTAAATTGTCTGGTCCTGTCTGGTCTGTTCTGGTCTGGTCTGGTCCTGTCTGGTCTGGTCTGGTCTGGTCTGGTCTGGTCTGGTCTGGTCTGTGCCGTTGCTCCCCCAGTTCTAACACAATAGAATCCTGAGTGGTTCTGCTTGCACCAAACCTCTGAGAGTCTGTAGCACAACTAAACCCAAGTGTGGTTCTGTTTGGAACCTGAATGTTCTGGTGCTCGTGTGCCAACGTCTCCCTGGATCACAGTCAGCCTGTGTGTGAAGTAATGTTTCTGTTGATCCGAGTCAGAATCCTGCTCAGAACTCTACACAGAGTCAGAGCTCAGATTATTTTCATTCTGTTCTGTCAGGTCCTGGTTCTGCTCCAGGTCCCAGGCCCGGTTCACTCAGATGTGTTCTGTTCAGTCAGAGAGAAAATCTTCAGCTGGATTAAACTCACTCAGTTGTACAGATGCTGTACTAAAATGTGGAGTGGTAGTAGCTGAGACTCATCATGTGAAAGCTTTACTTTAAACATTAACCTTCATGGTTAGAGTCAACTCTGTCTGCCTGTTAGCAAAATATCTCATGAGCCACTGATTTTTAATAAAACCCTCAAAGTCACGTTTGAAGGACCTCTGCAGCTGATTAACGTGTGTGTTGGGCCCAATCAAGATGGCGTCCTTCCACACCTGTTCTCTGTTGGTCATCACATAAATATGAACCAACCTGGTGAGTTTTGGAGCTAAAGGTGGACGTGTCAGAACCTGACAGTCCCAGGGTTCGACCCAAACGGCTCCAACATGATGTTTAACAGCTGATTGGCTGAGTCTTTAACGACGTCAGAGCAGGAGCCAATCAGACGTGGAGAATCCAGGAGGACACAGTGCTGCATGTTACCTGTCCAGGTCAGAACCACATGACCCGTTCTAACACAAACAGAACACATGACACTATGTCAAGTCTTATTGGGACCCTCTGGCTCAAGGAGGCGGAGGAGGAGGAGGAGGAGGAGGAGGAGGAGGAGGGTTGATGAAGATGAGGTACAGATGGAAATAGAAGAGAGGTTCATGGGAAGTAATGGTTTGCAGGGTGCTGCAGCACCCCCTGCTCGATGCCAGATGCATGTGTTAAATATGTGGCTAAGAAGTTAATTTGGGGGACGTGAATAAGAACAGATTTAATTAGTTTAAATTCCAATAGCATTTTAATATTTAGATTTTAATATCTAAACCATTATTGTATACCGTATTTATTCATGTATAATACGATCATCATTTTTTGAGCTTAAAAAGCATAACAAAATCTATTCATCAATAACCCGTGTATAATACTACCCCCCCCCACACACACACACTTTTTGAATGATTTTTAGGGTTAAATTTCTAGTATTATACATGAATAAATACAGTATCTGTGTAAAAATATACACCCATTTCAAACTCTTCACAGTGATCAGATTATTCTTCCTCAACATCATTTTAACATCTCTGTCTGATCAGAGTCTACATATAACATATATAACACATATAACACATATAACAGTTTGTTTTCATTAAACTGAGGCTCAGCCCCACCCAGCCTGTTACCATGGTTCCACAGAGCCGAGGCACTGATGAAGAGGAGTGACAGGTGGAGGTAGAGCGGTGGCTGTGTGATGAAGATGATTTGTTGTCAGTCAGTATTAAACAGGATCTGTAACGTCCCACTGAACAAACAACTTTAACTTCTTGCACTTAAAGAACATTGATGTAATTATTTTAAATGGCTCTAACTGTTGTCAATAAAACTTTCTGTTCATGTTCTGTGACAAATAAAATATATTTGGAATGAAACTGTTTCTTATCTGGGATTCTTTAGTAGAAATAATTGTTTTATGGAAAAAAAAAACACCTTCAGGATGACAAAGTTAGCAACACAGTTATGACTGCATGATGTGTGTGTCTGTGTGTATTCATCATGAACCACTGGACACATTTCAACAAAACCTTCACTAACTAACCACTGGCTGTACAGAAATCAACCTAATTCARCCTGACCTCCACAGCTGAGTGACCTGAACAAGCACACAAACTCAAACACTGATCTAAATGTAGTAAACRGTCAGCACACACTATGATGAGTGGTTACACCTCATGTCTGACCAGAACTCTGTCCCTTCTCATGGTTTTGTTTCAAACTCTAGGATGGAAAGTAGCCAGTGAGCAGGATATTTCAAATATAAAGCCRAAATGTAAAATAAATGTGAAAAACTTTACAGAGTATCACCTCAGGTCACCTCARCTGTCAGCACGATGATGGAGGCCTGATGGGTTTCAACTTGAACTTTTTTTTACGTACTGTAGCTTCTGGATGATTACATTGGTTTAAACTTCTGCTTTCACATTTCTGAAAAAAAATTACAAAGTTTCTATAAAACTACCATAATATGAGGAAAACCAGTTACATTATATTCACACTTTTAAACATTATTTTTTTGAAGAAAAATAATTAAAGTTTCTCATCAGGTTTTATAATACGACCAAAGCGAAACAAAACCTGAGAAGAACAGCATACAACGAGACTAAGTCAATGTTGGTTAAAGTAACTGAACCTAAAGGTTCATCAGATGATAAACTCCAGCTCCTCCAACCTGCAGCAGCAGCATATGAAAAAAGATCAAATCATTTGAAATGTATGAAAACAATAAATGCTGATGATTTGTGCTTTAATTCATTGATTCGACATTAGTCAGGTGGTTAACACATTTGATAATTGTGTCATTACAGGAAACAGACCAGAGCTTCTAACAGAACTGAGCAGAACCTCAGGTTCCTGATAAAAAAACTGACTTCTGTCTTTTTTTTTTTTATAAAACCAGAGGGACTCTTCCATCAGTTGTTAGTTTTTGTCTTCTTGCTGGTTCTTCTCATCTTTCCTTGTTTAGTTTTAAACAAGTTCGAGTCAGTGTTGATTTAAGTAAACTGACCCTGAATGTTGATCAGATGACAAACTGTGGAGGAGTTTTGGACCACTCATCTTTCTGCTTCTGCTCAGTTCTCTAAAGACCACTGGGATTCAGGCAGGTTGAGGTCTGAACGGATGGATGGATGGATGGATGGACAGATGGATGGATGGATGGATGGCTAAATTGATGGACAGATGGATGGATGGATGGCTAAATTGATGGACAGATGGATGGATGGATGGCTAAATTGATGGACAGATGGATGGATGGATGGATGAATGGATGGATGGATGGATGGATGGATG